TTCTGCCAAAAGACTGGAAATTTAGCCAAACATTTCTGATGGTGCCAAAAAGACTCATTTAACCAAACAATTCTGTGATGCTGTCAAAAGGCCACATTTAACTCCCTCCAGGGAACATCCACCAAGAACAGCTCAGGGCATTTCTCCAAGGGACAGTGCACATCTTGGGTGCTGTAAGCAGTGCCCACCCATAGCTCACTCACCCTCTCTTCTCTTCCAGGCTCCTCTCCATGCCAGCTCGGGGACAGGAATATTCTTTGGGATCTGTCTCGTTGCTGGAATTGTGGCTCTTATTGGATATTCTTACCTCAGGTGCAGGAAAAAGCACATTGGCTTCCAGCACTTCAAGGTAGGTGGCAGCTGGGAACACCAAGGAGGGGTGGACAGCAATTCCCAGATTCATAACCTCCAGTTTATCCAGTGATTTTCAGAGGAAAACTGTTTTCTCCCCCTTGAATTACAACCATGGAAAGGAAACCTGTTTTCTCCCCCTCAAATTACAACCATGGAAAGGAAACCTGTTTTCTCCCCCTCCTCCATGGCATTGCTATTCATTTTCTTGTTCTGGAGGTGGAAACGTTTGATAGGAAAAAGGCCAGATCCAAAAGACAAATGAATTGTCTTTGGATCAGAGATAATTGTTATATCCATAAGACAAAAGAACAGACAAAATGACTGTAGAATTGAAAAGTGCAGATTTTTATACTGATGCATTTTCATGTTGAATTTCTCTTAACTAATTTTACTGGTGATGATGTGAAACCTGCCAAGCTGCTCACAGACGAGGGATGAGAAAATAAATGTTGCAAAATACACAAGAGCCAATCCAAAAGAAGGATTTCTACCTAGAAATAAACTGAAATCCTTTCCTGTTCTAATCCCTGCATGTAACATGAATCRTCTTATAGAAACAAAACCCAGGAGCGAAGGGCCAGGGGAACCATTTGTATTTTTATAGAGTTGCAGTGAGATCCCTCAGGTCTAACCAGGTACTTTTTGCCTCAAGCCCAATTTCAGGGCCACACTTCCTCTCCCGTTCTTTGCTGAGGCTTAAAAATAAGAAGGGAGAGAAAAAGAGAAACCAGTGTTAAGTGATRTGAGGCAATAAAACAGCCAAAAGCACAGCCAGATTTAGGAAATAAAGGCAGCTCAATCCCAGCACTGCAGCAGCTGCTGGTGAAGCTCAAGGGCCCCATGGAATGAATGCCTTGGGGGAGAGGATGGAATTTAAACAGATTTTTGTGCTTTTGTGTAGTCAAATGATGCCACTGACACCACAGCACTGGAGAAGTCAGAGCCTTCAAACATCACCAACCCCTCCTATGAAAGTTCTTCTACACTGACTTCACCAGAACATGCTTATGATCTTTTCTCAGTAAGTGTTCTTTTTGATTTGAGATTGAGAAGCTGCTAATATAATATGTCTAGTTGAAACAAATATGTCTAGTTGAAAAAAAAATAATTCAAGAGACCAGCATTTAAGTTCCTGGCTATCCTGTCTCCCCAACTGTGTGAAACTGGGTTGTGTCAATKCAACATTCAAGTCTGATTTTCTTTTTGTTCTGTTTTGCAGGATTCAGATGACCAACAGCTTGTGATGAGTGGTCCTCATGATCAGAATTAAAGGCTGAGTTTGGCATTAGTCACCTAATAAGCACACTTTTATTTACACTTTCTGTGGAGTAAAAGGAGCCCCTACTTACAGGGAATAAAATCTTGTTACAAATTGCAAACCAAAGAGCACAGCTTTTTTTAAAGTTGCCTTCTGTAACGCTCACAGAGATGCCAACCTACAAGTGCTAAATGCAAAATTGAGTCTCAACCAAGCAACCCAGAGGCAAGCAGACCCCTCTCTGGGAAAAGCAGATGCCTTTCACCAGCTTGCTATTTTAACTGCTCTTATTCTTCTTCACAGACTTTAAAATGGCCACAGCAGGGCTGCTAACTCGGCAAATATTCTAAATTTTCTATTACTCCAGGTCTCTGCTTTCATTTTGGCTCAGTTACAACCGGAACAGGCAAGTGTGAAACAGAACATGTGGCAATCTCTATTTTTAAACTGAAGGGTTTTTTTGGTTTTTTTTTTTTTGTTTTTTTTTTTTTTTTTTT